AAGCATCAATACTTAAAATACGTGGGTTGCCTCCCACGCAACGCTTCGTTTAACGTCGCATGGCTCGACGATCGACTCCCCGTTGTTATGGGGGGTACTTTAGCCTTCACACTTTATTGCTTGACTTCTTTTCCACAGAGTAATGGTTAGGTTCAGAGATAAGAGCAACTTGAAGTGGTTTTGATCATCCTCCCTTCTTAGTTGAGCTGATCTTCCCAACTGAAGGTTTAACATACTTCTCCTTACCTTTCTTCCTAACCTCTAGAGCTTTTAGAGTGATTTCCTCATCAAAAGATTTCAAAGTGAGTGTACCTGTTTCCACATCAATACTACACCGACTAGTAAGCAAGAACGGTCGGCCAAGTATGATCGAAGTTTCTTCATCTTCTGGAATATCCATGATTTGAAAGTCAATTGGGAAGGTGAATTTATCGATCGTCACCTAGCCCATATGCCATCTTAGTTGTGTGGTCGGCAAACTTCAAGCTTATTCCCGTATCGCTCACTTTTCCAATATCCAGCTTTTTGAAAATCGATAACGGCATGAGACTCACACTAGCACCTGAATCAATTAGGACTTTCTTAAAGGTTATATCTTTTATAGTACAAGGTATTACAATTGGTCCAAGATCCTTCTTCTTGATGGGGACTCTCTTTTTTTGTGATATTTCCTTACATTGCTCAGTTTTTGTCTTCGGTTCTTCCTCCATTGATCTCTTTTTACCTATAACCTCTTTCATGAATTTCTTGTACAAAGGCATTTGCTCGAGTGCTTCAAAGAACGGCATGTTGATTTCCAATTTGTTGAACATTGCACTGAACCTTCCAAAGTCTTTCTCTTTCTCATCCTTTTTGTAACTCTTTGAGGAAACGGTAGTTTAATTTTCGGTCTAACCTCCTCTTTCTTTTTCTCCCCAGTTGGTTTTTTAGATAGTAAAGCTTCTTCTGGTTCGTTCACTTTTTCTCTTACCTCAAGTTCCACCTCTATGCATTCATCCTGCTTTGTTTTCTCTTCTTCTATCATTTTCTGATTTCTTGTTGTGACAGCATTAATACTCTCTTGATTTTTCGGATTCAGTACTGTCGCACTCGGGAGGGTTCCTTGAGTATGTGTTGAGAGGTGTTAGGCTATCTGCCCCATTTGCGCCTCAAGATTTTTGATGGAAGCTGTGTTATTCCTTTGAACATTACGGGTCTCTTCTTGGAATTGCATACTTTGAGCTGCCATTCTTTCAATAGTTATCTCCATTCTGCTTTTTGAGGAGCCTGTTGATATTGAGGTTGGTATGGTGATGGCTGATATTGTTGCTGATTTTTCTAACCTGGATTATATGTGTTGGCATAAGGATTGTTCTGCCTCAACATATTAATTTGTTCAACCTGCTCTTGAGTTGCCACACAATGCATGGTAAAGTGTGGTCCACTACATGTCTCACAAGGTAACGCTTGAACTGGTTCAACTTGTGCCACTGTCTGAGTTCCAATATTCATCTTCTTTAACCTTCTCTCTACCTCAGCGACAATTTGATCCTCCATTTTAACAACCTGATCCGCCAGCTTCAAATCAATCTTACCCTCTGGTTGGTTCACAGTGCGATCATACAACTCAAGATGCTCATTGGCGGCAATTGCTTCTATGATCCTCTTAATACCAGTGACTATTGAGAAATTAGTTGAGCCACCGGCAGCAGTGTCTATAAGCTGTTTTGTCTTGAGTCGTAAACCATTCACAAAGTTCTGCATATGCTCTGTGGCATCCATGTTATGAGTAGGACATGCTGTCAAACACCTCTTAAACCTCTTATATGCATCTCCTAGAGATTCCCCTTCTTTTTGTTTGAAATTGACAATGTCATATCTTTTTCGAATAAACACTGAAGCAGGGAAATACTCGTTAAGGAATGAAGTTTCCATCTCTCGCCATGTGGTGATACTCCCAGCTGGAAGTGATAGAACCATTCTTCCGCATCATCAGTCAGTGTAAACGGAAACATAACAAGTCTCTTGGCCTCTTCGGAATGGCCTTCTATCTTCAAATATGTGGTAGTCGTTAGGAATCTCTGTAGATGCTTGTTTGCATCTTCGTTGATTCTTCCAGAGAAAGGCTTGCTCTCCAACTAGCGAATGGTGGAAGGATGTAGCTGAAAGTGTGCCACATTCACCGGTTGATTTACGATGGTCATCCGATTTGGTTGAGCATTGGCCCCTCCGTAGTCTCCAAGTAGTCACTCCGCTGGTGGGGGATCCGCCATAGCTTCAGTGTCTCTCTCTGATTTCGAACTTGAAACTGAATGAACAGAAACCCTTTCTTCTTCGGAAGCTAATAGTCTAGCTTGTCTACATCTTTCGTGTAGAGTCTTTTCAATTTCTGCGTCCAATGAAAAATTAGGTGAGGGATCTCCTCGCATGAAAATGTTAGACGCAGATTAGTAGTAACAAAATAATAATAATGAAAATAGAAATAAAAACTGAAAATAAAATTTTGGTCGCAGAGCAACAAAATTTCAATTGACTTATAATCAAACTTATATTCTGACAGTCCCCGGCAACAGCGCCAAAAACTTGACCGGTAAAATAGCAAGTGTACTATTTTTACCGATGTAATAATAGGGGTAAATTCCCCGAATATCGATCTCGCGGACTGCGTATGAACACAAGTTCTATAATAATGCAATTGAACAAAAAGTCATAGGAGTTTTGGTTTGTTTCTTTAGAATTATAAAGGTCAGAAGGCAACAGTAGTAAAATAAAGGTTTTAAACAGTTATGAGAAGCATGCTAGGGTAGGGTGTATGAAAAGCCTTGTAATAACCTTAATCCTTAGTTTTTTGAAATCACTGCTCAATTCAATCGTTACCGGTTTTAAATATTAGTTGACTCTAATTCCTTAGCAGAAAACCCTTTGGTATTCTCCCTATGCCCCAATTCCTTGGCGGTATAGGAACAATACCAAGCGATATGTTTTGTCTAAAACATTACGGTTACTACAGGGTATCCCCATTCCTAGGCAATATCTACTATAGTATTATCGTATAAACATGTTAATAATCGTTTTTCTAAACCTAAGATTAACCATAAATTAGATCCTTATTTGTCAAATAAGAAAAGCCATAAGAAAATTATACAATAACAACGATGATTAGAAAGCAATGAAATCCATTATTCAAAGTAAACAAGGTTATTACAGAGTCAATTCAGGGACACCCCCTAGCATTGGGGGGTTTAGCTACTCATAATAATAAAGATAAAATCAACAATAAGACTAAACATTACAAGATAGTTGGTTGCCTTGATCTTCAATCGCTTCCGCTCATGAGGACCTTCAGTTTCCCAAATCCTTGATCGCTCCAATCTTTCTCGTGAAATTATTTTCTGTCCAAAAAGTCCCGTTCTCAATTCAAGATCATTCTAATATACCAAAATTCAAATTACAATGCGAGCCTAAACTGCCCTCCGAGATAGCACAGTCAGCAAAAAAAAAAAATAACACATTTTACTTTCAGTAGCCCTGACACAGGCCGTGTCACAGGACACGGGCACCCGTGTCAGGCTGCTGACTCGTGGATGAAAATTTTCCTCTTCAGGGGCCCTGACACGGGCCGTGTCACAGGACACGGGCACCCGTGTCAGGCTGCTGGTTCTTGGGTGACAATATTCCTCTTCAGGGGCCTTGACACGGGCCGTGTCACAGGACAAGGGCACCCGTGTCAGGCTGTTGGTTCACCTCAAAACTATTCCGAAATCTTGCCATTTTCCCCGATTTTCGCTCTGCTTCTTCTTTATTGTTTACCTGAACATAAAAACAGTGAAAATACCAAATCGACGCGTAAAATGTAATAAAAACAAATAAAATGCGATAAGACATAACAATTGATTAACTGAAACAAACGGTAAAATAACGTCTAAAAACCACCGATCACTTGCAGGCTTAAGCAAAAGTCTCTTTTCGTGGGATTGAGCAGAAAGTCTTGAGTTGCTGGCTTAAATAATTGTAATCAGTTTGATTATAGTTAAAAGCTCTTATGTTGTAAGGGGACTGAACAACTCTCAATTGAGAGGAACTAAAATATATTGTGTGTCTCTTTATTTACATCTGCATTTATATTTCGTTGTGTAAACATACTCTGAAGTCAGACTCTGATCTAGTTCAGTCTCTTAGTTGCATTAGAATTTGAGCTTGACACCTCTTGTTTTGATGTAGAGTTAAGAAAAGGAAGTAAACTTTTCATTACTTTTACTCACCCTGATATCAAACTCTGAACGTGGTTCAGAATCTGATGGTTAAAAAACATTAGTAGAAAAGAGTTTCGATATTTGGACATACACAATTCAAACTCCCCATTCTTGTGTATTTTTCTCATCTTCGCCCTTAACCATTTCCCCGACTGTAGAGCTAGAGAAAATTTGCCCCATTAACTCTGTAACCAGGCCTAAGAAAACTTCTGTAAATACAATGAGTAAAAACATCTGATTTTTCAAAGAAATACATACATAACTTCTCATCACTTTGCGTGAGCAAGATCTACGTGATGTTTAAATATCCAAAACACCATAAACAATCCTATAAATACAGGGTTACCTTATTGTACTTTTTAACAAGTACAAAATGGTAATTAGATAATTTATTTTTCAAAATAAAAATGAGAACTTTGTTAATAATGAAAACTATATGATTTGGGAACATAAGACAAGAACATGTTGAGAGTGTTAGCTTGAAAAATCAAAGCTCTTACTATAATATTTAAAATATGTTAGTGTTTTCTTTCCACCCTCAAAGAGATTCAAACACATTTGGTTTGGTGTAACCAAAATTTTAATTTTCACAAACATGATATCTACATACACACTCACATAAAATTCAAAAGAAAATAAAAATATATAGAAGCAGCATGCACTTCTTATTATTAGAAAATTGAAAATGAAAAACAAGAGATAATAAAATTCTTACAAGTGCATAATGGCTCTACCAAGAAGGATTAATCTATTCTAGTCTTAGCATGGTTAATTAATTGAACTATAAGCTGTGCTATGAAACCTTTTAATGGTACAAGTGTCAAGAATTTTGAGTAACACGTGATTGTTAGTGCACCTAGGAGTCTTAAACTGGTTCAATGCAACTCCATTGGCTATAAAACTATCCAAAATCTTCTTAAAAGTTCCTCTCTCCAAAATGCAAAGTTCTAATGGCCCAATTGAGTTTGTTTTTCTTGAAACCACATAACCATGATCAGCAAAAGATAGATCCATTTCTCTACAACAATCATCAAGTACATTATCCTCCACTTCTCCTTTAATCTCCCAGTAAATAACATAGTGACCAGGTTGGTTTTTCACATCTGCATTGCTAGTAAAGTCAACAATTTCTGCTTTTGATTTGTTTAGAATCTGTGAACCTCTCTCTACCACTAGTTGAAGATCCTTCTCAGAGTTTTTGTCTATGTTGACTGTTAGAATTAGTTTTCTTCTGCATACAAAGTTCAATTTTGGGGTCCCATTGTGAAATCCTGCCACTTCTACCACGTCCCCTAGTCTGCACCTGTACAATCCTGAAACATTAAAAAATTTAGAGTTAAAAATAAACTATAAAGTGTGTATGATTTGATGATAGACTAATTTTGTCGGTAATTTTGAAATTTGTACGCAGAAAACGTCAAAATAATTCCCGCCAGATAAGTATGAAAACGATAGAGATATTTATTTTAGTTGAATACACTATTCCATACCAAAAGTTAGATAAACACTTTAGGTGCTAAAATCATTTAAGAGAAATTACCAAAAAAATAAATAAATCATTTGAGAGATGATTAGTGTTATCTATTTGAAAACAACATTTGTTTTATTTTTTAATGTAAACTTAGAACTGCATCATCCAATAATAGAAATTAATTCCTCTGAGTAGGAAAAGATTTTTAAAATAACATTATTCACCACAATATTTGGACGTGGGTGTTCATTTTTTAAAAATAAAATTTATGTAGTAAAGTGTAGTATTGCTCACCACAATTAGTAATATTTGTATTTTAAAAATTATTATTATTGTACTCAAATATTTAAATAATCAATATTGTAAATAAAATTTACACAATTTACACTATTTTTCAATTTATGAATTTTACTTTTTTGAATAAACATGTTTGATATTTGTCCATTCTCAACCAATTATTTGGGTACTAACAATAACATTTGTAAATTCACATTTTTTAAAGTATATAATCGAGCTTTTACCAATTTGATTAATCATATATTCATTTGTATTCTGCAACATGTGATATAAAGGATAACTTAAATATCTGAGGTGCCTATTTGTTATGAAACATGTCGGTAAATAATGTAAACAAAATACTATGAGATGTGGACTGAACAATAACACTATCAAGAAGAATCAAAACAATAATTTGAATCAAAACATTAAATGCCATATTGGCACTTGTTGAACAAAAAAACGCATCGATTGAAATATCTTATTCATCTATATAATTAATCATGTATCATTGGAATATGAAAGAGTTATGTAAATGTACTGCTGATAGGTCCCAGTCCTTCCAACAAATAGGTTTATAGGTTGTAGCTAGCTAGCTTGAATTTGACATATCAAAGCATGTTACTTTCCTGGATCTCAGTTTATTATTGTTATGGATGGACATCAAATTAGGTCGACTACCATTTTCAATTATATTTTATATATATTTAATAATACTGCTTTTCAATTTTTAAATTAATGGTTTTGGATATTCTTTGATTTTCAAAGGTTTCGTTGAAAATAATTTTTTATTTATTTTTTATTTAGTTGAAAATTGCTAATTAATAAATTACTAACGCAAAACAATTTTGGGAAGAGAGACATAAAACTAATAGTAATGATAAGATTTATGCGAAAAGAGGCATAATAACTAATAGTCATGATAAAATTTGTGTTTGTTGCTTCTATGCAGATGAAGATCACGATCACATTTTCGTTTCATACCTACCTATTAAAACTGTTTGGAAGTGTTGGTGCAAAGGTGAATAAATGTTGAACAGAGAAAATATTCTATTAAAGAGAATGACGGCTACACAACTCACTTAAACATTACAATGATTACAACCCTATTTATAAGGTAAAATTAGGGTTACTAGAATAAGATAAAATACTAAAATACCCTCTAACAAACTTATGGGCTAAGTAATAGTACAACCAAATATGAATTACTTCTAATACCATCCCTTAATTCATATTCCATCAAAACTTATAACACCAATTACATCCCTTAGTCTGAGAAATTGATCAGTCTTGATAGCTTTCGTCAGAGCATCTGCCAACTGTTTCTGAGTGCTGCAGCGTACAACTTTTAACACTCCACTATGAACTTGATGTCTCAGAAAGTGATACTTCGTCTCAATATGCTTGCTTCTCCCATGCAACACTGGGTTTCTGGCAAGATTGATTGCAGACTTGTTGTCAATCATCAGCTTCAGAGGTTTGTTTATTTTAATCTTCAGATCCTGCAACAGATTCAGAATCCACATAGCTTGGCATGCAGTAACAGCACCTGCAATGTATTCAGCTTCACAGGTTGATAACGCCACAACAGGTTGCTTCTTGGAACACCAAGAAATGGGACCTCCCAGAAATTTGAACAAGTACCCAGAGGTACTTCTTCTGTCAACTTTGTCTCCACACCAATCAGAATCTGAATAACTCAGAAGTTCTGACTCATTCTTTCTTCCAGAAGGAAATAACACTCCATACTTCAGAGTTCCCTTGATATACCTCAGAATCCTGACAGCAGCTTGGTAATGGGACCACTTAGGTTTACTCATGAACCTACTAACCATCCCAACAGAATAGCAAATATCAGGTCTGGTATTGCACAGATACCTCAGAGAACCAACCAACTGTTTGAAGGTTGTAGCGTCCACATCCTTTCCATCAGAGTCAGAATCCAGTTTCTGATTTGTATCAGAAGGTGTGACAACAATCTTACAATTCTTCAGTTCAAATCTCTTCAGAAGTTCTAATTCATACTTGAGCTGATGCAAAATGATATCTTTCTCAGAATATCTGAACTCCATCCCTAGAAAGTATGTCATTTTGCCTAGATCAGTCATTTCGAATTCATTCATCAGAACTTTCTTGAACTTGGCAATCTCCTGTTTAGAACTTCCAGTCAGCAGTATGTCATCAACATATAAACACACCAGAGTCATATTGCCTTCAGAAGTATGCTGAACATAAACACTGTACTCCATCTCACATTTCTGAAAGCCTTGCTTCTTGAAAAATGAATCAATCTTCTGATTCCAAGCTCTGGGCGCTTGTTTCATCCCATATAGAGCTTTGTATAATCTGTACACCATCCCTTCCTGATTCTTTTTCACAAATCCAGGAGGTTGTGACACGTAAACTTCTTCTTATAATGGACCGTTCAGAAATGCAGATTTTACATCTAAATGCATCAGAGGCCAATTCCTGTTAGCAGCTATTGCAATCACCATTTTGATTGTTTCATGTCTTGCTACAGGTGCAAACACTTCAGAATAATCTAACCCAGGTTTCTGTAGAAATCCTTTGGCTACCAACCTTGCTTTATATTTGCTAATTGAACCATCTGGCTTTAACTTCTGCTTGAAAACCCATCTGACGCTGATGGCTTTCTTGTCTTTTGGAAGTTCTGTCAGCTTCCAAGTCTTGTTTCTCTCTATAGCATCAAGTTCTTCTTTCATGGCCTTCATCCAGAGCTTTTGCTTAAGAGCCTCTTCTGTACTTATGGGTTCAGAGTCTACTATCATGGCACACTGAATAACTTCTCCTTCAGAGTCTACTTCAATGTCTTGCAGCATGTTAAATTCTGCATATCTTCTGGGGACATGTCTTATTCTTTGTGGTCTCTGAACTTGTTCAGAGTCTTGAGCTTCAGAGTTTCTAGTTTCAGATGATTGACTTCCTCCAGAGCTTTGACCATCTTCAGAGTCTGACATATTTCCAGAGTCTGAATTGCCACCAGAATCTGGATTGCCATCAGAGTCTGGATCATCAGAGTCAGCTTCATCTTCTGAGTCTTCTCCAGAGTCTGAATCACTATCAGAGCCAGAGTCAACGTCAGAGTTTACTCCAACTTCAGAAATTCTTAACTCTGACCTTTCTTCAGAAGTTCTAACATCAGAATCAAATTGAGACTTATCCCAATTCCAAACTTATGATTCCTTCACAATCACATCTCTCCTGAATTGAATTTTATTGGATTCTGGACAATAGAGCTTGTATGCACCTGTACTGTGGTACCCTATCAGAATCATCACTTTGCTTCTATCATCCAGCTTCTGTCTTCTGGCTTCTGGAACATGTTTATAGTAAACAGAACCAAACACCTTTAGATGACTAACACTTTGCTTATCTCCAGTCCACTTCTGTATTGGAACTATTTCCTTCAACTTCTTCGTAGGACATCGGTTGAGTACATACGTTGCAGTGGCAACAGCTTCTCCCTAGAGCTTCTGAGGAAGCTTCTTCTCCTTTAGCATGCTTCTCACCATATCAAGCAAAGTGTGGTTTCTTCTTTCAACAAGACCATTGTGTTGAGGAGTATAAGGAGCAGTAACCTCATGCTCAATTCCATTCTCCTCACAGAACTTCTGGAACTCTTTGGAGTTATACTCACCTCCACCGTCAGTTCTAAGAATCTTCAACTTCTGACCACTCTGATTCTCAGCCTTCATTCTGAACTTCTTGAATTCATCAAACACCTCGTGTTTAAACTTAATAAGTGATACCCATGTCATTCTTGTGAATTCATCAATAAACAACACAAAGTATTTATTCCCTCCAATCGATGCTACTGGAAATGGACCACACACATCAGAATGTATAACTCCCAAGGCATGTTTTGCTCTTGGAGTAGCTTCTGACGCAAATGGCAATCCTGGTTGTTTTCCTTTCATGCAAACTTTGCATGACTTTTCAGACTTCTTAATTGTAGAAATTCCATGTACCAACTTCTTTGAATTCAGATGTTTTAAGCTTCTGAAATTCAAATGACCGAATCTTCTGTGCCACAACTCACTCTCCTTCTCAACACTTGTTGCACTAAGACATTCTGAGTCTGCAGTTCTAACGTTCACCTTGAATGTTCTATTCCTTCCCTGTTCTGACTCCATAATCAACTTCTGATTGCAGTCATATAGCTTCAGAAGATTGTCCTTCATGGTAACTGAAAAACCTTTCTTAATTAATTGTCCCACACTCATCAGATTGCTTCTGATGCCAGGTACATACCACACGTTCTGAATCAATGCTGTTTTCCCATTGTTCAGAATCACTCTGACATTTCCCATACCTTCTGCGTTAAGATATTTGTCATCAGCACATATGATCTTTGTTCTCTTTTCAGAGTCAAAGTCAACCAACCATTTCTTGTTTCTAGTAAGATGATTTGAATATCCAGTGTCCATATACCACCAATCTATCAGATCCATATCATCAGATTCAGAGGCCATCAATAGCACAGATTCGTCATCAAAACTTCTGGCTATATTTTCTTCTTCTGATTTTCTCTCCTTGTTTGACCAACAATCTCTAGCAAAGTGACCAAACTTCTTACAACAGTAACATTGGATTTTCTTCTTGTCATACTTCTGTTTTCCCTTGTGAGCATTCTTTTGTCTATCAGAGGTTGAACTTTCTGACTTCTGACCACCATCAGATCTTCTCCTAGCTTCTAACTGCTTCTGATACCTCCTATCAGAAGTTACTTTCAGAGCTTGCTGCTCTACTTCCTTTTCAGAAGTTCTCTAATTCAAACGCAACTCTTGCGCTTCTAGACTGCTCTGCAGCTCTTCAATTCTCATGGTGCTCAGATCTTTGGAATGTTCTATTGCTACCACAATGTAATCAAATTGAGAGGTAAGAGATCTCAATACTTTCTCCATGATTGCTTCTTTAGAAAGAGTTTCTCCACACGCCTTCATCTCATTAGTGATCAGAATCATTCTGGAGATGTATTCAGAGACTTTCTCATTATTCTTCATTTTGAGATTCTCATATTGCTTTCTCAAGTACTAAAGCTTTCACTGATGCGTCACCACCATAACATCTCACCAGTGTGTCCCACGCAGCCTTTGCTGTCGTTGAATCTGCAATCTTCTCAAACACATTTACATCCACACATTGATGAATGAAGAACAATGCTTTCTGATCCTTCTTCCTTACTTCCTTCTGCGCGTTTTTCTGTTCATCCGTCGCATCTGCTGCTACCGGAACATAACCATCAGTGACAAGATCTAGAACATCTTGAGCACCGAACAGTACACGCATTTGGATCATCCAACGATTCCAGTTTTTACCGTCAAATACTGGAAGTTTGATGTTCATGTTGCCGTTTCCGTTCATCTTCTACCTTGCACAGTACACTCAGATTTCTCACACAGTGTTTCCCAACCCACAAAATTAAAATTCTGATCAGATTTTGTTCAAGATTCAACACGAATCTAAGAAACAAAATCAAACACACAAGGCCTCACGTCCACTCGTGTTTCCCGTGTTTCCAAATGAATCCAAATCGGAGCTCTAGATACCAATTGTTGGTGCAAAGGTGAATAAATGATGAACAGAGGAAATATTTTATTAAAGAGAATGACGGCTACACAACTCACTTAAACATTACAATGATTGCAACCCTATTTATAAGTTAAAACTAAGGTTAATAGAATAAGATAAAATACTAAAATACCCTCTAACAAACGTAGGGGCTAAATAATAGTACAACCAAATATAAATTAGTTCTAATAAGAAGGAGGTAGAGAATTAGATGCAGATTTTGCATATATAACAGGAAAATTGTGAAGATTCCGCATATATAAATAGCTTGCTTGATTTGGTTGGTTAGATGTTAGATTTTACAGCGGATTAGAAATCAAATGATGTTGAATGATAGTGTGCTAACTCTAGAGAAATTTTTTCATAAAATTAAAATGGTGGTGGCTGACCCTTACCTCTAACCATGCCAATAGGTGCAATTTTACGAATGGACAAAATATTAGCCAAATTTTTTATAAACTTTTGGTTTTTATTGTGTAGCTGTGAAACTGTTTTATTGATTGGGATGTTGTAAATGACAATTGAATGATGGGTTAGGTATCTCTAGTATCTCTTGGAATATAAACTTAATTATAAAAAAAATAGCGATAAATATCTTCTGAGTAAAAATAAAAGTAAACTATAATAATAAAAACCTCTATACTCTCTGTGCTACGATTTTTTTTTTTTTTAAGTCAAACGTATGGTTTTCAATTTATGAATGAATGAAAATAAATATCTAACAAAATTAAAAGATTTAAGAAAAGTAAAATAAAACTCAAACAAAAGACAAATGATTTTTTAAAAATATTTATTACTTATTATTAATTTAGCATCACATACACAAATAATAGAGAAAAAAAGTTTGAAGATACTAATTTTAAATACTCTGTACTTAATTTTTTTTAATGCAAATTCATTTAAATTTTTATTTAAAGGAGTTGTAAATTTCTATATTATATAAAGAATTGACGTGTTTTATCATTGTGGTATTATTTATTATTATTATTATTATTATTATTATTATTATTATTATTATTATTATTATTATTATTATTATTATTATTATTATTATTATTATGTTGAAAAATATAGTTGAAAATTAATTTTAAAACTTGATAATAAAACTATCATTTTTTATCTATGAATTCAAGAATTGTTGATATTCAATAAAACAAATAGAATTACTGTATTATGCTGTGAATCCTTTGCAATCTCCTATTATTATTTATAAGACTTCTTAATATATTTTACACAACAACGAAAAATTAATAGTGTAGTTAATATATATGACAACATTTATTTTCAGAACTTGTCTAAAAATAAAAATATAAAAGATTAATTCTCTGATCTTTTTTAAAATTGATAATTATATTTTTTTTCTTCGATAAAACGGTGTAAAATTTTAAAGAAATAAACACTTCCACCTTCTCATACAGCACTAAAATCGTGAAAATTATAAAAATTATTTAAAATTATGAAAATTATTTAATTTTATAAATAAAAATAGTTGTATGAAATGAGAAAGAATAGTAGTACCTGTAAAAGTAGTAAGTACAATTTCATAGTGTTGTCCAACAATAACCTTAGAGAGTGGAATAGCCTTGTCTTCAATGAAATCATCACTGCTATCTTGTTTATTTCTATGAAGAGGTATGAACTCAAAGTAAGAGAATGTTGGAACAACAGCAAAAGTTACTTGTTCTGGATCCAAACTAGGATCAACATTAACTCCAATCCAGCTCTCAGTTGATCCATAATCAGCACTAATCATAGGCAACCCATTTCCATAATGTCTAAGTTTTTTCAGATATGGTATCATAGAACCTGTCATTATTGAATACATGTACTTTGCATTTGGCCAAATCTTTGGAACCAAACCAAACCAATCAACTTTCTCTAGCTCCTCACAGTAGCCTTCTAATTTTGAAGCCAAGTTTGCATTTGAGCCATTTTTAGAATTTATTATCTCCAAAATGGCATCTCGGAGTTTTGGTAATTTGATTCTTGAACTTAGTGTTCCGTTTTTAATGTCATTACATAATTCTCTCCAATGTTCTTCGAATGTTGTGAATGCTTGCACCAGGGTGTAGACAAAAGCCGAGGTGATGAATTCTACTTGATCGGAATAGAAGAGGCCGAGAAGGAGGTGACAATATGTGGATTGTTTGTAGTCTCCATTGAAAATGACTTGTTCTGGACTGCAACTAAATGACTTTGCTTTGTGGTTTTTGGTTTTGAATTCTTCACTTGCATAACAATGTGTTGTGGCTGTTCCTACTGTTAAATTTCCTTTCGTTTTGAAACAATTGCTACCATATATGAATTCAAGAACTCTTCCTCCTTCTCTTATGGGATAAACCCTGTAAATATTACCTAAATTAGTGATAAAAAAGATTTGAATTTCCCACAATGATTTCAAGCTTTTTTTATCTCTATTAAAAATTTGGGTCCCTATGTTAATAAAAGCTTGAAACATGATAGTGTACTGACTTTAAATAAAACAGTACGTCTTAAATTTTTAAAAGTTTTGTGCATGTTAATCATGGTTTGTTAATGATTAAATATTTGGAGAACATATTTAATCAGGGTTTAAAAGTAACAGTATTTTTACGAGACTCAGTTTAACAATGATTTATCGCGACTAATGTTAAACAATGTGTGGTAATTGTCTTACACGTCTAAATGAAAAAGGTAACTATTATTTTCTACACAGAAAAGATAATTATTTTTAAAGAATGATTAAATGGCAAACACACCTTGATCTATAGGCTGCTGATAAAGTGAAAATTTGCAGCGTGGTCTGAGCACTGTGTCGAGTAAAGGGTACGAATTTCTGCCTCCCATCTGTTGTACCAGAGCTGCAAAATCACCACCACAAAAAATATTAACGTGGGACAAGATATTTCAATATCAAAAACAAACCCTTTTTTTACCAAATAACAGTAACAAAAATACCTAAACTTGTTAGAATAATTATATCTTGCTTTTATCTAATATTGTTACTAGATGTTTGATTCTATATATTTTCCTTTTTTTGCAGAATCAAACTAGCATATAATAATAGGTAAAGATACGGTGAATGATAAGTGATAACTATATAATGAATCAAATTAGCATATAATATAATAGTAATATATAAAGATAAGGTGAATGATAAGTGATAACTCTAATGAATCTCAAAAAGGAATGAAAAGGGGACCTTAAGGAAAGAGTGGTTATAGGTTGTTGAGTGAGTAAAGGAGCAGTGTCTCCATCAGAAATTCTCTGAATGAATGGTTCAAAATCAGCATGAGAAGCAATAGGAACCAAAGAAGTGAAAAGGGATTCCATTGCACATGCTTCCATTTCTAGAATATTGTAAACCCCCAACCATTTCTTCAGATATTGAACCCCATAATTCTCTTTCAGAATATGGCTTAATATCTCAGTTTGAACAGAACCTGTGTTGTTAGATACATCTTCAAACCAACTAATAATCTTTTCATAGTCAGAATTTCCACTGCCATTGTTGCTGTTGCTTTTGTTGTTGCTGACAAGTGTTGGCTCCATTAGAGAATGTTTAAACAAATTTAGGTAGAGAAGAAGCAAAAGAACACACTATTAATGAAAATGGTTTGGAATATTGGAGCTGTATTCTTATTCAAAAGCCTCAATAAAAAAAACAGTGATATGTGTAGAAAACATATAGACCACAGGAAAGGAAATGGATTTATCATTTTAAAGGGAGACACTTAAAAGCTAAATGTCTATTCTTATATTAAGAAGATTTGATTGGACTTCAAAATATACTGTAAAAATATTAAATACTTTTTCTGATATGCTTCCTTTTTATTGACCGATGTATTATGCCTTTATTATACTCTTTCTATTTTAAATTATAAGATATTTTGAATTTTTCAGACGAATTAAAAAACTTAGGTATAATTAATCATTGGGTCCATTTAGTTTGAGCGAAGTTTCGCTTTGATCCCCGAACTAAAAAACGTTACATAATGATCCCTTAACTTAGGTTCCATTAATACATTTGGTCCATTCCGTTAGTTTGTGTCAAAAAAACGTTAGTTTGTGTGAGCTGGCATGCCAAATAAGCAAATTTACAATTCCACATCAACACATTGTATATGTTACGTTACATTAGGGTTCCATTTGGTTGCAACTTCATTCTTCTTCCATCAAGTGTGCTTCAGTCGTCTTCCATATTTCCAACTTCTTCTTCAAATCAAGGTTAAATCCCTTTCTTCCATCTTCCATTTTCGTCTCCAAATTAGGAAATTAGGATTCAATGTCAAAGAATGCAAGCACTACCTCAACTTCAAACAACCAAAGTTATGGTACATATGGATCCGTGATTCGTAGAAACAAGAGAATCGAGTGCTTTTACCAAGATGAAAGTGTTCTTAGAACAGTGAATGATGTGAACAGTGTCAACAAAGGGAGAAAATTTCGGGGTTGTAGAAATTATAGAAACCACATTGAAAAGAGTTGTAATTTCTTCAAGTGGTTGGGTGATGAGTTTGTTGATGAAAGGGATTTGAAGCTTGAAAGACAAAAGAAGAAGATTAACAAATTGAAGAATAAAGTTATATGCACTAAAGGGTGGCTCAAAATGTCCATTGTGGTTGAGATTGTAAGCCTAGGGTTAAACCTTGTGTTTGTAACAATGTATTTCAAATAGTTTTAGGGTAGATCGAAGTTATGTTTGTTTCAATGTTTTGTTAAGTTTGTTTAATGAATAATGTATTGTTATATTGGTTCAATGAATAATGCTTGTGTTATGTATTTCAATATTTTGTTAAGTTTGTTTAATGAATAATTTATTGTTATGTTGGTTCAATGAATAACGTATGTGTTATGTTTTCACATTTTCATTGAATAATGTCTCAATATTCAACCTGTTAAAAATGCAGCCCAATAACCAATATTTATGGACACAAACTGTAATATAACTTGGCATTATAAGTCATTCCAACTTTCATTAACAGATTCAAAGTTTGATACATAACAGGTTAAATAACAAAAGGTCATTATAAGGCATTACTTAACAGGTTCAATTACAAAAGGTCATTATAAGGTATTACATAACGGGTTCAATTACAAAAGGCCATTATAGGACGAAATGTACCTTACATAATGACATTCCAAAATGTGCATTAACAAAAACAAAAGACTCAGGCCATTAAATGACATTACAAAATTTTAGAAGACATAAATAATGATCAAGGTTGGCTTGAAATAGGCTTTCCACCCTTATGAAGTTTTTTTTAAGTTTTGCGTGGTGGCTCACTTGTAACAACAGGTGGTGGTGGTTGACTTGTATCAGCTTGTGGTGGTGGCTGACTTGTAACAATAGGTGATGTTGGTTGACTTGTAACAACAGGTGGTGATGGTTGACTTGTAACAATAGGTGGTGGTGGCTGACTTGTAACAACTTGTGATGGTGGCTGACTGTTGCTTCTTGTACCTGACTTGGAGGAGCTTTTGGTTGTGGTAGTTTACAAGTGTCCTTGTTGTGACCATCCTTGTGGAAACGACTAGACTTGATATTATGTCTTGTCATCTTCATGTGTGTCTCATCCCTCACCATCTCTTCAGCTTCACTATTCCTTGTTGTCTATCTAAAAGGGTGATTGAAACTATCTAGCTAAAGGCTCAAGGACAAAAGAAAAAGAAGTGACTCGACAAAGCAACGACACTTTGTGCCTACGTATCTCATATGAAGTGAGAAGTCAGAGTCAACATAATTCGGCTAACTACAGGTGAAAGGGGGGAAGGTTGCTCGCCAAGACATCGCGTCTTATGCCTACGTACTTTCATCTAGTATGAAAGATCAGAGTAAACATAGTTCGGGCTAAAAGGGAACACATGTTTGTTCAACTGTTTTTACCCGAGTAGGGTTAACAATTAGTTCTAGCAGTTTGGTGTATGCAGCTCGACCATTGGAGACTTAGGCATTACCATTTGCGATAGAACTAAGAGTTAACAAAACTCTCCTTATGAAAATGATTTTCCAAGATTAAAGGCCCCAAAGGGTAAAAAGAAGTTTGAATGATTTGTTTCTTGTGTTTTTTAGAGAAGAAGTGTTTTTGAATGGTTTGCAATTCATATCGCACTAGAGACTATGACTTAGGAGTGAATGCGTCGCATATCACCCAAAGGGTGCTATACTAAACATTCAAGCCATTAAATAGAAACTCCTCAACAACCCTTTCCCAAGTGCTTAAGGCTTGTAACGCACAATAATCATTAACATTTATTAGGTGTTTTATGATTGTTTTGAGATGAGAAGAGAAAGGACACTAAAGGGGGACTAAATCCAAACCTAAAGTTGTCATGCAATGGTGATCCTAAGATTGAGATAAAGGAATGCTACCTAATGTTATCATACATGGTTAAGATCCTAATGTCTATCATAACCTCCCTTGAACAAGAGAGATTAGAGGTCCTAAGAGAAAGGAGACAAAAGAAACAACAGGAAACAAAATAAGCATGCAAGAATGCAAACATGGAATGCAAGTGAGGGAGGAAATTGGTGTGGGGCAGTAGCCTCCACAAGCTCATCTCAACCTCAAGCAACAATATGACAGATGCAAGAAATGAAAGGAACAAGAAATACATCAATAGAAACACACAAGAGCATCAAAAATGGGATGAAATGACTTAAACCAAACAACATCAACCATAATGCCAAAACATAAACACAAATGAAAGGCAAAGAAGACCTAAAACAAAGTGAGGATGGGAGGCTATATGAGGACAACAAGGAACTCATAATGTGCACTCAACCAAGAGCATCACAAGAAAGGTGCACAAGAAAGCACAAAGAAGTCCTCATGGATTCATCATTTTAGGCTTGCTTCAAATACCTCCAAAGGAGGGACCAAGCTACCTTAATTGAGATTCCAAAGTCATTGGACAACAAGGGAAATGAAATAAAAGTTATCAAAAGAAAAAAAGCAAGTAAACCACAAGGAAATGCAAGCAAATTCCCAAAGGAAAGCAAGCATGTTTCACATAGAAACCCTAATTGGGAACTCAAAAGCAAGCAATCAAATGAACAAGAAACATACAATATAATGACCTAAAAATGAGCAAACATCATCCTTAACATGTTAACAACATGAATCAATAGGCATTGAGAGCTCAAAGGATCCAAAAATGTCATATCCAAGTCAAACTAGGTCAAGATGTATGTATGAACTTCCCTTTGGGGTAACTTGACTTGCAAGTTACTCTAAAAATAGGAAAATGATTCAAAAATTAGCAAATAAAATTCAAGAAGCTCATAAACATGTTGGCAACCAGAGGCCAAGAGATTGCAATCAAAATCAATTCACAATACCACCAAAGAAATTGATTCACAAGGGTGTTCCATTGTGAATGAGGATTGCCAAGGGTCAAATGAAGTGCATCAAAAGTCAACTCAAAAGTCAACCAACAGGGGCAAAATGGTCCACAAAAATTCATCAACTCATTATTGATATGAGGATTGAATTTTACTCATTGGATCAAAAGGAAATGAGAGAAATAAAATCAAGAACAAAACATGTCAAGATTTAGGTCAAATAAAACACTTCCAATGTTAAATTCCATTTTTAATTGAAAAATAATTAGAAAAAATAAAATAAAAATTTCATAAAATAAAAGACATCTCAAGGAGTCTAAAACATATTTTTGTGGAATTTTAACACTCTTGGAAGTATTTAAAAATTATTTAAATCTAAACAGATATAAAATAAAACAAAAAGAAAAATAAATAAAATAAATAAAAGGGTTGGGGGTGCAGAAAGCAGCCCAGAAACGTGTAAAATAAAGCTGGGCTCAGCAGGGGGCGCAAACAGCAATATAGTCCATTAGCAACAAAAAATAAATAAAAACGTGGGAATCCAATGTGATAAGTCAACCAAAGTCCATGGTACACCAAGCTTCAGACCGTGTGATCAGAAAGTAATCAAATCAAGGGGCTCACAGCACGCCATTTCATTTAATGAAGTTCAAGCTGGATCTGGTGTGTGTGGTCAATGTGAGTGTATCGTGGGTCTTAATCATGACCGTGAAAGCAAAAAGTAAACGCATCCAAAGGCTGTGAGTAACACACGTGGATCTGGCTGGATTTAAAAATGGAGGGAGAACCAGACGCCGGAGCCAAATGCAGGTGCATCAAAAATCCACCAAATCATGCAAATAAATAGCCAAAGTTGATCTCCAGGTTACGTGGATCATGAATCCAACACCCATTTTCATTGATCAAACTTAAATAAAGCAAAACGAAAAGAAATAGAAATAAGCTCAAATGAAAAAAGTTAACAAACAGCCATGAAATCAATCCAGAAACCAACTACACATCAAGAGGTTTACAAATATGCAAAAATGGCGCAATAAAAATGCATAAACAGTAGATAAATGGATTAAAAGAAAACCTAAAATCAAGCTTCCACGGAGCTCAGTTTGTTAATGAAGCTTGAAATAAACCACCTAGAAATGTTCTATGAAGCTCAAGGAATGTTTTGAAATGTTTTATTTTGATTGAAACTCAGTGAAACTTAAAAAAT